TCCGTCAGCCAGTCAAGACCAATGAAGATCCGGGCCTTCCCCAAGCACGTCAGAAGGAACGTGCGTGTCTCCACGTGAGGACCGATTCTCATCCTTAGGTCAACGTAATGCGTGATCCGGCCGCTGATGTTTTCGGTGTTGTCGGCGTTACGAGCCACAATGGGTTGGGGAAGTTCTTGGATATCCAGCTTCTCTGCCCGCGCGTAGTCGGTATCGATGCAGCAGGTACTACAGCCACTGTCGAGTAGCGCCTTAACTCCGCGCGTCTTTCCTGAGTCCAGGCCTGTGATCTGGACGTATACGTCCATCAAATGTCTCTTCCTTTCGGCCTGGTAGTTGCGCAATTCCTGCGCCAGTCTGCTGGGCTGGGGGCCCTTCTGTTTCTCGGCCGCCAATTTCCTTTGAACGGCATCTGGCACCCTTGTGCGTTTGGGTACTTCTGGAACCTTGATTTCGGCAGATTCCTTGGGCGCTTCCTCCTTTTTCAAGGATTGAGCCTCCGGAGCGATGCTCCCCTTTTCGGTCTTTGTTGACGTGGTTCCTTCTCCACGAGCCATAAATACGTAGGAGTCCAAAATTAATTTATCCGCAGCCTTCTGATCCTTTTTACTTTGTAAATACTCTCTATTTAAAACTATTTTTCTTTGTCGTTCCTTTTCCATATCAGCAATGAGAAAATCATGAATATTGGTACGTAATGAGTCCGAGATTGTATATGTATGTGTAGAATCGTTCATGTCTTTAATCGAAACAAGTACAGAAAAACGTCCATAGTCCGGACGCTCCACCTCCTTGGCTAGAGGAGTGGAGCGCTTCAAAAACCCTTCTCGCGCAGCTTCTCGGCGATCTCCTTGAGGAACTCGTTGTCCTTGTCCCCGTTCTCGATCTCTTCAAGCATTGTGGCCCGATTGAAGAACGTGCGCTTCTTCTTGGGCTCAGGGCAGTTCCGCGCAATGTGCCCAGGCTGCTGACAGTTGTAGCAGATGATATTGCGGCCACGGGCGTGGGTGCGATCGATCTCCATCGGAACCGGCTCATTGGCCGCTGGTCGGGCCGGAGCGGGTGCAGGTGCTGATGGTGCAGCCTGAGGGCGGAATTGGGGTGGGGGCCGCGGAGTTGAGTGCGCATAGGATGCCTTACACAGCTGGTCGCGCAAGGCATTGGCCTCGATGTTGACGCACCAGTTCTTGAAGGCACCATATGCCTTGGGCAGGGGGACGCCGGTGTTGTAGAGGCGGCTTGCAATTTCGCTGCTGAGTCCGCGCTCGAGGAACTCGATGAGGATGTTGTCCTGATCCCCCTTCTTGTACTCGCCCTTGTCATCGGTTGAGGCGACCACGTTGTACCCCGCGTCCGCAGCCAGCATTTCGAAGTCAGAGATGTAGTCCGCGAAGGACCGTCTCCCCTGGCGAAGGGCCATGAGTCGGGCAGCGGCAACTTGTTCTGCGTTAGAATCCCCAAAAGCTTTTTGGAACTCCTCCAAGAAGGTTGTCGCGGTGACTCCCGCCTTCATTCCTTGGAAACCCTCGAAATTGTGCTGCTTCCAGTTCATCGCCCATCTCGAGGCGGCGCAGCTTGTGCCAGTCTCATTACGGAGGTAGGACAGAACAAAGAGGATTTTTGTCTCATCCAGCGAGAACTCTGATCGATAGGCACCGATGTAAGTGGTGCACGCGTCCACAAAGCCCAGGTATTTGGACTTGTCGCCATTGAAGTAGGGGGGGTTGGCAGCGAGGGTGATGCGGTGATGTCCTGACATGGTAGGAGCAGGTGCGGTAGGTGGGGGCGAGGGTGGTTGTTCGGAGGGTAACTCGCCAAGGTCGGGGATCTCGTCTTCAGGCGGCGGGAGGGCGAGGTAGGGGTTGGAGGGTCCGGGTTCGTTTTGATGCGCCAGATCGGGCGACGATGGTATGATGGGGGGAGGGGATGGGCTCCCAGATGACGATGGGAATCGGTACGAAATGGTGGATTCGTGTGCTGTACAAGCACTCGAGGGAGGGTTCTTTTGCTAGCAAAAAGATCCTGGGCCTAGCTCTTCACGTGCCCAATGATCCCGAGGTGCGTTTTCCCGAAGGTCTCCGCAGCACTCCTTGTAGCTACCGTAGGGCTTGGGTCGGGCTCAACGTTACCCGTGGCCTGGTGCTGTTTGCTCGATATGAACCTTTCACTGCGATCGCAGCGAGCGACTAGATGATTCGGTAAAAGGGTGAGTGGGGTGATAAGGGTGAAGAGGATATAGCGGGCGTAGCGGTGCACGGAGCAGGGTAGGAGGTAAGAGGTACGAGGGTATGAGGGGAGTCTTCGAATTATGTGACAATCAACCAAAAAACAAGTCGAAAAGAGAAGTGAATTCGAAGACTGGAGAATACAACCAAGTAGCTGCAGTATTTATACCCAAATCCAGTCTGAGTCATATCTACAACTAATGAGTCATAGGGCTATGTACCGCATGGAGCACTGGTCATGGGTTGTAGTAGAACCTTCCGGAGCATATGTCGCGCAGCCTCGAATCGATAGAGATAACCCCTGGAACCCCTAGCCCGGACCGTCTGATGCCGTGATCCGTGATAAGATAAGTCGTGCCAAGATAAGATAAGATCGTCGGTGATAAGATGAAAAAGAGTCGAATTATGACAGGGACCAGGGAACAATGAGGGGCTGAATTGGGGAGAACAATGGGAGCTGGACCATCAGAACAATGGGGGTCCAGGTCAGAGGGTCATGTGGACGTGCTTGGCAGGGAAGTCCGGGCCAAAGCATGTATGCTTGACAGATGGCACATGCACGGTCACATGCAAGATCCCACAATGATCGGACAAAAGCAGGGGTTCCCCTGACAGTTCTGACATGTAATATTGTTGGTTGTGGTTGGATTAGTGTTGATTTTGGCTGTATAGAAGATATTGGTTGAGACACTGTTTCTTGCTATGTATAATTTCTTGTGCGTTGACTCCATCTTCCGCAACTATTGGACCCCACATTGATTGAGAGTTGTGATTCTGGTGTTCTGTTCACCCCAAAGCCCTCACATCTTTCACACACTGAGAAGCTGATTACAAGGAGTGTGAACATGTTTATATTCAGGTTTACTTTCACAGTAGATTCACTTGTGAGCGTGCCCTCAGCATTTCACTGTGTGATGCCATGATCTGTGATAGGATAACCCGTGCCAAGACAAGATAAGATCATTGATGATAAGATGAAAAGTGGCTGAACTATGACATTGTTACAGTTGTGCAGCCTCAAATCAAGAGAAATAATCCCCTGAGCCCTTAGCCCAGACTGTGTGATGCAGTGATCCATGATAAGTTATCCATGTGTCATGATAAGATAAGACAATCGATGAAATGATGAAAAAGTGATTGAATTATGACAATAATTGAGTGAGAAATTGATGAAAAATGTGTGAACAAATGTCTTTTGAAGACTCAGAGCAACCTCAAGAGGGGATTCCCCAACATCCGTAAGCAACCCCTGGCGCCAGCCAGATCATGTGCACTATTTTATCGCATTTTATCGGAGGCCCCTCTCTGGACTTAGTTGTGATATACATTCACTAGTCTAAAAAGATGGTAGTAGATTTGTTATCTTTCCACGTCCGAGGATTTTTTTTCGCTTTCGATCCTTCTCCAACTCGGAGGCCAAGGCCTCTAGAGGCCCAAAGGCTTCATCAAACTTCCACGCTACTTTAGGGTATAGACTGCGGGGGTTCAGTGCCATCTCCTGCAATAATGAAAAACAATGCTGGACGTGCTGTAGATGTGCCCCAGAGTAGATAGTCTGCACATGTCAGTGAATGCTTGTGAATTTGGAAGAGTCACACACTCTGTGACCATCACATTTGTTTTCTTCGTTTTCTTCGTTGTTCTTTTCAGCATTCTTCTCCGCATCCTCGACGTTTTTGCTGTCTCTGAGGGGATGGGATTTATCAAAAACCGGAACTTTGGGGCTCTGGATAACTCCTTCTGCGGTCTCTGTGGTCTCAGTCTGGTTCTTCAGAATGACAGTGTGAATGCGTGTTCAATGGTCATTTGTGGGGCTGGTATTCCTTTCGTGGGCAGCGGTGTGAATTCCAGGGATCTGATAGTATGGGGGGTGATGACTGCGCTGGAGGTTCAGAAAGAACTGCAAATTGGTGTGCAACTTGTTGTCAGTCCGGGCATTCACTTCCCTCACCAGATGTTTATAGAAGAGGAAGCGGCTCAGCAGATAGCTTGGGCAAGAACAGACCCACTGAGCAATATCTGTACTGTATGTGCCTTTCTTGCACTCTTTGTCATCCCAGATTTGTTGTAGTTTTTCAGCACGCCCCTTCGTCTGTGGCCTGGTAGTCTTGAGGACTTCTAGCTCCTTTGCTACCCGGCAATACTCATCGGAATGACCCAATTTGTGAGGTAGCCGAGATTCTTGAGTTGTTGGTGAGTCTTGAAGTCGTCGGATACACACGGGAGTTGCCAAAGAGAGTTCAGGTCACGCTGTAAGTTGCGTATCGAAGTTCTCGGTGTTCGGAAAGCTGTCTATCTACATAGTGGAGTCAAGTATTTATACGGTAGGTAGTTGTATGTAATTACTATATCCTGAACAATAGGTACTTGGGTTCCCTCGTTGTGAAGGCACAGCGAGCTTGCCTCGATGTGAGGAGCAGTCTTGCACAGTCCGCAGCTTGATGCGTAGCATCAGACAATGATCTATTAGATGAGATTAGATAAACAAGGATCTATCCGTTACACAATTCAACCCAGGCCTTCTTTGCGTCCTCCTGCCATGCTGCTAATGGTTGTGGTCGACCTAAGCACCGAGCTCCCTGCAGACAGTCCAGTGTACGCTTCACTTGCAATGACAGACTCGTCAAGACAAGGTACAGCACCAGATCAAGCCATGGTCGATTGAACTGTGCAAGCTCACAATGTTTTAGCTGTTTCCACATACTCTCAATGACCATTGTTGTCTTCAGTCGAGGGATTGCATTGCACGCAGCACGAGACCATGCTGGCCGCTGATTAGGATGGTACCAGCAATTCCACAGGTATGCCCAGACCTGTGGAAGGTTGTTAGCATAGCAATACTGATACATCTGCTTTGCAGCACGTTTGTGCAACTGGGTGGGTGTCTGAAAGGGCTGTGCGGCGGGCACAGTTGGGTCGGCCAAGTCCTGCAACGGGATTGTTGAGTGGCAATTGAAATGGTTCCAATACAGAGCAACAATGGGCTGCTGTAGGTTCCTTGGACAGAATTCATAGTTTGCTGACTTATGCATCACAGGAGGGTTTGGCCAGACTGGAACTCTTGTGTTGCCTGTTTTCAGGACAAAGAGAGGGGGGAGACATGTTTGGGACAAGCGGGGTGACTGTGTGTTGGGAAGGCCTTTGTCTCCGTCCCCTCCGTCCCCTTCTTCATCATCATCAAGATAGACTGCTGTAACACCAGGTGCCCATGTCGGATCAATAAAGTCGAAGATTTGATTTGCCTTACGGGGATCATAAGGCACAGGAGGCTTGCCCTCACAGAGGCATTTGTTGATGTAGGAGATGCCATGCCAATAGCAGATCTAATGTTTTGCTAGCGGAAAGACAAGCTTACGGGCCTTGATCTCTGCAACCTCTTTATCGGAAAGCATGAACATGATATTGGGGCAACACATCTTGAGGAATTGGAGCACATCCGTAAGCATATGAATCTTGTATCCATCTTTGCAGGCTAATGTTGATGTCGTGAAAAGGAATGCAAAAGGAATCGACTGGCCATTTCCTTCTCCAACAAAGCCATACATCTTGTAGCCAGCTTTGTTAGTTCTCCAAGTTGAGTCCATTGCCAGCTCCTCTGTACGGTCCCCCCACCTATCTAATATCTCTTTCAAACTAAACGCAATGGCGTGCACACCAACCTGATTGCGAATAGGGATGATCTTGACAACAGCCTCTTTGTCGAAACATTCCAAAAGCTTAAGTGCCGACTTGATTTGATTGTCATCAAGTTTCCATTCATCTGCATTGACTGAACTCTACAGGGCATAGACTTGTTTTTTGTGATTTCAGTGCTGGGGTACTTCTCGAGAACTTGAGACCAGATCTGCATTAGTTTGATTTGGTAAGTTTAGCTCCACTGCTGCTACACTGTTATTATACTCACATTTGTAGCAGATTCACGTTTCCTTTCTTCAATAAACATCTTGACTGTCTCGTTGATAGATATGTTGGTGTAGACAATGTGAGGCTTGCAGTGCCATAGTTGTAGATGGAATGGCACTGTCGCTTGGATCATAGCATCATCGATTGTGATCAAAATGCAACCGTTGCAGGAAAACCAGTCCATCTTCATTCTTGCTTGTTGCTTACTTGTATTGCTGTGAAGTCTATTTGCCTTCATCTCAGTGTCACTCTGAGCACAATAGAATGTGTGTGTCTTGACAGAAGGTACACTTTTACTGGATCAGCTAGTCTTGAAACTACAGATCAGAATAAGCTGCTTTGGTCGGCCTTGAACAAAAGCTCAGAAGAGCTCACATGAAACAATACCCAGTTTCATTCCAAATCTCTTTTGCGATCCAGTCCGCTTTCTTCTTTCCGTGATCTTGCTTTGCAAAAGATGTGTCGTCAACAAGTACAAAGGCATCCAACTCAAATGATTCAGCCCTATGAGCCTTGATCAGTGTCTTGCACTGTTGCCATTTGGGTGTGGTGTGTTGAAGTAGTGGCATGAAGATTAGACTTGCTGGGCAACTTGACGATGACATGTCCAAGACATCGGAGCTTGTGCACAAACTTTCATGCCTCTTCGGCTTGTTCTTCTTCACCTGACACAAGCGGCAGATTTTGATTTGCTGAAGATTAGGTTTTTGTGGAAAGCTGGATTGAGGCCCAACATAAGGACAATGAGCACACTTGACAGACAGATTGAGTTGAGTAATGCTTGTCATCTTTTGCTTGAATCAAGGCTAGGCGAGAAGGTGAGAAGACAGGAACACTGTATAGAGGAGTGAAAAGCAAGGCAATAAGCAAGACTGGCCTTGAGAGCACAAATGGCTAAGAGGAGCCGTGGTTGTTTGTGTCTGTGTTATACAAGTGTGACAAGTTACAAGTGCGTACATTCATTTCTCGTCTCAAGATCATATAGTAAGGGATACAGGTAGTAAGATGTAATGACACAGTGCCAATAGAAGTCACAAAGCAAGAGAATACCTTGACAGAGACTACAGTTTGATGGAATAACAAGCTGATGAGCCACAGAGAGGAGATGGCCAAGGAGAGGGAAGACACTTGGGCTGTCCAGCAATAATCATAGCAATGGGCGGGGAAGGAATCGGTGAGGAAGGTACAGGTGGGGCAAAAACAGGAGAGACAGCACGGCACACAGTAGCCAGAGCAGGACAATGAGCACGGCACAGGAGTCCGGTAGCAAGGCAATGCTGGCGACACATTAACTGAGAGCACTTCTTGTTGATCCTCATGCTCATGCATTGTTTGTGTGGGCAGAGACGTGGCTGCACAGGAAGTGGAATCTTGGGGCAAAGCACTGGATTAGGACATTTGTCAAGCCAAAAGAAGAACCAGTGCTTTTTGTGATGGCCCAAAAAACACTGTTCCAGGATGAGTAAACACTCAACTACTATACAAGCAATACTCACAACAAGGTCGTGCGTGTTGGGATGAGCCTCACTCTTGCTAAACCGCAGCTTCAGTGGTGTGTTACATTTGATGCAGCAATGGGTCTTGTGGTGGATGTTATACCACATTCTGAGAGATTGCTGGGAAGAGGCCATGAAAGAGAAGGAGCGGGGGGAGCGGGGGGAGCGGTGAAATGCTGAGGGCGTGCTCACAGGTGAATCTACTATGAAAGTAAACCCAAATATGAACACGTTCACACTCCTCGTAATCAGCTTCTCAGTGTGTGAAAGATGCGAGGGCTTTGGGGTGGACAGAGCACCAGTATCACAACTCTTAACAGACGCAGATCCAATAGTCGCGGAAGACGAAGTCGACGACAAGAATTTATATATAGCAAACAATGGTGTCTCAACCAATATCTTCTATACAAACACAATCGACACTAATCCAATCACAACCAAGAATATGACAAGTCAGAGCTTAATACGGAGTATTAAGATCCCTTGTAGCGACAGCGTCCAGATGGCGACGCAAAAGCCCAAAATACCGAGTCGACGCACTGCCAACTAGTATAACCAAAATGTCACGTCGACGCACTGCCAACTGACACAACCAGAAGTACTGAGTCGACGCACTGCCAACTAGTAGACCAAAATGCCGCGTCAACGCACTGCCAACTAACAGCCAATATCCGATGTCCAAAACCCAAGCACAACTTGTCGACGCACTGCCAAGCAAGAAGTGTGGAACCAAAGTTCTCAAGTCGATGCACTGCCAACTGACCAAAACAACCCAAGCACAACTAGTCGATGCACTGCCAAACTAGAGGTGTGGAAATGATCTCAACAAAGCCCAAAGGCGACGACACTAAATGCCGCGACTAAACCAGATGCGGCGAATCCGACTTTCTGATGCCTCAAAACTCAAACTCAAATCACAGTAGCTACAAGTGCTCAGGGAGCAACTCGTCGCGACCGGGCAGGGGTGGCAGAACTTCTTAGGGTGGAATCACGCGGCATGCAAATTGTACAAAACAATCTGAAATGAGAGTGATTCACAGTCCGGGGGAAAGCTTCCTAATACAAAGAAACAATGTGCTACTTATACTGTCTACGACAATGCTTAGTAAAGTCCTGTACAACTGCATAGTAGCTACGCTATCTAAGATTGGTTGCCTTTTAGAGTAATTGAAAAGTTGAACGATCGGACAGGTCCTGAGTGATCAGGACCCCGCCCCATAGTCTATATGATACTTTTGATGTGGGTCAACCCACCGCGTCATACTTTTGGAATACGACGTGTTGGATTGGCCAACGGGTATGTCTTGGCAGGTCAGTCCAACGTGGGTGCCCCGAGAAGCCGTATGGCCCTAGGCACGCCAGTCATCCCTCACATGGCTCGGTTCACGGATCTAGCTGTGTCGGTCTTAGTGTATTTGGGCATGTACGCAACTCGCCGTGACACTTGGAAGTGTCACCGCAACGCGTCCACAATGTCCCATGATTGAATGGATCCTGACATGTGACAAGTCGTTGCCGTGGCATGATCTGAGGAAACGTCCAGCCCAAAACCGGGAGTTGCCGCGACAAGATTGGTTCAATCTCGTAACGCCAAGTCCTGTCCAGTAGTAGTTGTAATATCGAGAACATCGCACATTGCTCAGCCCTTCAGCCCGAGTTCCCATCTGCAGAGAATGACCCTTTTGAGAAGTCGCCGCAACAAAAGATCCCTTTTGGGGAATTGTCGCGGTCCGAGCGTTCGTCACTAATAGCCCTGAGCCTGGTATAGACCCATAAGACCAGTTCCACAGTAGTGGTCTGACTGCCTTGCTATTGTCGACACTATCCACAGTCGTCGACTGGGCAGTAGACCCTTAAGCCCTACTGAACGTAACACTGTCAACCGCGACACGATACACCAAGTGGTTCGAGAGTAAACTCTGTAAAAAGCGCAAAAATACGCCCTTACAGAGCTGGTGCAGAGCGTGTCTGGTAGCCAGCCTATTGTCATAGTTCGGCCACTTTTTCATCTTATCATCGACGATCTTATCTTATCTTAGCACGACTTATCTTATCACGGATCACGGCATCAGACGGTCCGGGCCAGGGGTTATCTCTATCGATTCAAGGCTGCGCGACATATGCTCCAGAAGGTTCTACTACAACCCATGACCAGCGTTCCATGCGGTACATAGCCCTATGACTCATTAGTTGTAGATATGACTCAGACTGGATTTGGGTATAAATACTGTAGCTACTTGGTTGTATTCTCCAGTCTTCGAATTCACTTCTCTTTTCGACTTTGTTTTTGGGTTGATTGTCACATAATTCGAAGACTCCCCTCATACCCTCCTACCTCATACCTCTTACCCTGCATCCTGCACCGCTACGCCCGCTATATCCTCTTAACCCTTGTCAACCAACTTACCCTTCTACCGAATCATCTAGTCGTTCTCTGCGATCGCAGTGAAGGGTTCATATCGAGCAAACAGCACCAGGCCACGGGTAACGTTGAGCCCGACCCAAGCCTTACGGTAGCTACAAGGAGTGCTGCGGAGACCTTCGGGAAAACGCACCTCGGGATCATTGGGCACGTGAAGAGCTAGGCCCAGGATCTTTTTGCTAGCAAAAGAACCCTCCCTCGAGTGCTTGTACAGCACACGAATCCACCATTTCGTACCGATTCCCATCGTTGTCTGGGAGTCCATCCCCTCCCCCCATCGTACCATCCTCGCCCGATCTGGCGCATCAAAACGAACCCGGGCCCTCCAACCCCTATCTCGCCCTCCCGCCGCCTGAAGACGAGATCCCGGACCTCGACGAGTTGCCCTCCGAACAACCACCCTCACCCCCACCTACTGCACCTGCTCGTACCATGTCAAGACACCATCGCATCACCCTCGCCGCCAACCCTCCCTACTTCGATGGGGACAAATCCAAATATCTGGGCTTCGTAGACTCGTGCACCACCTACATTGGTGCCTACTGATCAGAGTTCTCGCAGGACGAGACCAAAATCCTCTTCGTCCTCTCCTACCTCCGTAACGAGAACGGCACAAGCTGCGCTGCCTCAAGATGGGCGATGAACTGGAAGCAGCACAACTTCGATGGTTTCCAGGGACTGAAGGCAGGAGTCACATCCAAGAATTTCCTGGAGGAGCTCCAGAGGGCCTTTGGGGATTCCAATGCGGAACAAGTCGCCGCGGCTCGACTCATGGCTCTGCGCCAGAACAAACGGTCCTTCGCGGACTACATCTCCGACTTTGAGATGTTGGCCGCGGATGCAGGCTACAATGTGGTTGACACCACCGACGACAAAGGCGAATACAAGAAGGGGGACCAGGATAATATCCTCATCGAGTTCCTGGAGCGCGGACTCAGCAGCGAGATCGCCAGCTGTCTCTACAACACCGGCGTCCCTCTGCCCAAGGCCTATGGGGCGTTCAAAGCCTGGTGCATCAACATCGAGGCAAATGCTCTACGCAATCAGCTGCGCAAAGCATTGCATGCGCACTCCGCACCACGACCGCCTCCCCAATTCCGCCCACAGGTAGCCCCAATGACACCTGCACCCGCCCCGGCGCGACCCGCTGCTAACGAGCCGGTTCCAATGGAAATCGATCGCACCCACGCTCGCGGCCGCAATATCATCTGCTACAACTGTCAGCAGCCTGGGCACATTGCACGGAACTGCCCGGAACCAAGGAAGAAGCGC